AATCGCTTATTAAACAGCATTCTGATCGACGACTCAACACACATCAACTAACAATCAATACACCATTATCATCTATATCTCACGTTTATAATACATTCGTTAGACAAAATCGTGCAGCACTTGCCGCTTGTATTCGAGATGTTTGGCTATCAATGTTTACCATATTACCCCCTGGAAAGTTGTTATACATCTCCGGTCCAGATGAAAAATGTTATGTTTTAACAAACAGTGCAATAAGAGAAGATATTTAGCTTAACTTAGAGATTTAGCTAGAATAGGAATAAAAGAGCTTAAACTTGTGATGCGTTTTTCTAAAAATTATTTCTTTTTCGTTAAGGAAATATCTCCATTCGTCGACCCTAAAGTTATTTTAAGTGTTCATGCAATATCTGGATGTGATACAACATCATTTATTAAAAATATTGCTAAGAAACGAGTCATGCAACAATTCTTTGGCGATCCCAATCGGTCAGGGTACGCTAGGCGCAAAAATTCCTGAGCGCAAATCCAAACTTTTCTGTCCTTCATTACAAACTTCCGCGCCTTCGCAATATTTAGTTTTAACACAAGAAAAACAATATTTGTTTTTCCGCGTTGTATGCAGGATGCCAGTCAGTTTTTGGTTTATTAAGTACAAGAGAAAAGTGTACACGAAGATAGCGATAGAGGTGATTAGGTGTCGCTCTTCTGCAGTGAAATTGTTTATTTAGCAACAAGGAAAACCTTGAATTTGTATTGTTCAAAAAATTTAATATTGTGTAAAATACATTTTGTGTCAGAAGAAGAATATGCCGTTTTAGGCCAAAATTTGAATATAGTTGACATGTAGTGTATTTTCAAAATTGAGAACTTTTCTCAGTTTTCTTTGATGAAACGATTGAGACAAAATTTACGTGTCTCTTTGCAAGAGTATATCTGAGTTTTCATATAACACATATTTGGCCGAAAAATGAGTTATATTTAGACGAGTGAGTGGGGAGATTTTCGCCTCTGCTACAAAAACGTTGATTGTAGTTTTGGAAAATTCTGTGCTTTGATCGTCGTAAGTTCGTTCGATATTTTTTCAAAAAAACAACAGAAAAGGAAGAATTTTTTCGACAACGAAATTGCTTTTGGTACGAGACAGGAACCGTTATGGATGCGGGCGTCTATGCGCGCCCATACAGACGCCTGCGTCACGAGCATCCATGGACCTAAACTTTTTTTGAGAGGGTCGCCCATGGACTTTTATCTACTCATGAGCGAAAACGAGAAATGTTTTTTCTTCTTAGAACAAAGTTCGCTAGTGTTGTCTAAAGTCGCACGAAAAATTCACTCGATACCCGCAACAGCTGCTGTAGAACAGACATTTAGTGCAGTAACTGAACGCCGCTGTAAGACAAAAAAGATGGGCAGTAAGGTTTATCTTATTTTATTACGAAAAAACATTTTCATCCATGGACGCCCTTGGACAGAACGTACGTCCGCGCCCATGGGCGTGAAACTTTTTTTGAAGTATCATCCATGGACGCCAGTGGACGCAATTGTATCCGTCCATGGACGCCCGTAGACGGAAAATTTGCGTCCATAACAGCCCCTGGTACGAGAGTCTGCGAGTTTTGCTCCGGTTTTGGTTTGATTCTCCTCCTCTGCTCTTTTGGTCTCAAAATACTATGCATAGCTATTTTTTATTCTTGAGAATTGAGAAATAAAGATACGATGAAACTATCGTCTTCTGTTTCGTCTGTGTACTTGTTTCAAGGTCTTCGTAAATATTTTAACTTTTATTGCCTCTAAAATAGTAATTAACAACATCAAACATACCCTATGTAAAACCATGCGACGAACATAAAAGAATCAAGTGATTACATGATATATTACAAAATTGAAAGAAAGTTACAGAAAATTGAAAAACGAAAGAACAATCATGCCGGTAAACAAAATATTCAACTAGCATACACTGAAAGTTTAACAAGACTTCGTTGTTACCACATAATTTTGTATATTTAATTGATAATGATAGTGTTTAAATGATTATTTAGTTTAATAATGATTTTAATTGACGAAGATTATATCATATGTTAATTTTGTTACTCGTTCATGTTTTTACGTGCTTGTAGTGGTGTTTTTCTCAAAAGTTTCAAAGTGCAAAGTTAATAGAGCATAAAATAGTACAAACAAAGAATCAGACTCTAAGAAAAACAGTGAAAACCTTTTTTATTCTATTTTCGAAAGAAAAGATATATTCCGTTAAACAACTAGAGCTCAAAAAATAACGCTGGAGATTTATTTTACTATTATCACCTATTATGGTGAGTGCCACGTTTGTACTTAATCACACACTAAAATGAAAAACAAGGTTAGAAAGTAACAAATAAAATGTTGTTTCCAGAGTAGCAAATAAGCTCTCGATTTAAGTGGAATGTATGTAGATATTTTCTCTCCCGCTGTTCGCACAAAGTAAGGTTCAGATCTGCTATAAAATTGAGCATAGTTGCCTCAAACTGCTTGCGATGCAGATAGAAAAAAACATAGACATCTTCCTGTCGTTGCAGTAATCTTGAAAACATCTGATACTCACTATTCAACTCGTCGTATATACCAATAATCTTCTTCGACATGCTAACAAGAACGTCGATAGAATCCAAGGTAATTGGCTTTGTTTTGTTGTATGGATGTTCATCCGAATGAATCCAACCATGCTGCTTATCTTTTTTTACAATAATAATTGAGTCGCTAAATCTTGTTGTAATAATAATGGCCGACAGACGATAATTATGTCCAATTTTTGTCTCATAGTCTTGTAACCCACATTGTTGATTAACGACTTTGAAGTAATTTTCTTCTTCAGCATAAACAATCAATATTTTCTTTGGTAACAATGTAAAATATTGTTCGTTGATCACGAGTAAAGTATTATTCATCGGTTGTTTGCATGATTGACATGTTTTCAATGATGAATGTTTTGTTATTGATTTAGCCTCCATTGGTTTCACTGAGTTATAAATAAACAAATGCACACCAGTTGTATGTAGGTCTAAACCATTACTATCAGAAGAAACTGGGCACACATGTTTATGATGAACATCTAAACGAAAGAAAACGACAGCTTTTAAAGAAACATTAATGGCGTAATTTTAGCAGAAATCATTTCTTAACAAGCTCTTCTCAATAGTTGCGTTCAAAACGCACCTTTCTAATTTTCTCTCGCACTTTTCGTAGTAGAACTGAGGTTAAAAACAAAGAAACATTTTTCTTACTAAATTGAAAATTTTTGATAAGTCGTTGTATCTGTTCGTTCCCACATTGTTGTAAACTCATCAGGACATCGGTGAATGAATTGAAAAGATGTGCACTGTTAACAGTATGTTGATAATCGACAACGCTTAAAAATGATTGTAAATAATCTGCTACGAGTGTTCGTAACGTTTCAAGCACAATTATGCTGGCAGTGGCATAATGTTGTAACAAATCGTTCCCTTGTTTAATTCTCTTTTTTGAATGCAAATTTGTAGTCCACGTTTTCAAATACCTTGCAACTCCAACGATACTATCCATATTTGAAACATCTTTCCATGATAGATAACTGACGACATCGTATGTTGAACCACTATTTAAGCAAATATTTTCATGGCTTGTATAATCAGTTAGATTAATCTTGGTTGGAGGCGGTCGAATTGCATTTACACAGGACACATAGTCGGTAATGAATAGTAAAATAACAGGTGGCCATTTCGTCACTTGAAATGTCTTTTTCATGAAAAAATTACATTTTGGACAATTTTTATCACATTGTGATGCATCGAAAAATTCTTGTAATTCATCGATGATCTGCATTTTAAGGCGCGGCTAATTCAAAGTTTAAGCACTATCTTTTTTTTGACTTTATCAGACATTTTCTGATAGAGAATAACGAGCTGAATCCGAATATCACACTTTTTTTCCTTTATGACCTTTCTTTGTGGG